AACCCCATTCTGCTGTGGAGAGTCTGGAAGAGTCCAGGACTGGGTGATGCCCTGCTCAGCACAGAATCTGGCGAGAATGCCGGAGCGAAACTCACCCCCACGGTCGGAGTGGAGACAACTGACACGACGACGACGAGTACTCTTGGTGGCGAGCAGCCACCGGATCAACGTAGAAGTCACGTCGGACTTCTTCGCCAAAGGGAACACGGTGGTGTACCGAGAGTAGTCGTCGACGACCACTAGGAAGAAGCTCTCTCGCTCAGGTCCAAGCCGTGGAGCGGGGCCCCAGACGTCTAAGTGGAGTGTCTCAAAGGGCTCGGAGGCTGGACGAAGGGAGGAGGAGTGAGGAGTGGCGCGCAGCCGACCCTGGACACAAGGACCGCACGGAGGAGCGGGGGACGGCGGGAGCGGCGGGAGGTCGCGGGGGAGGCCTAAGACAAGACGCTGACTGGACATAGCGCGGAGATGAGAGAGGGACGGGTGACCAAGGCGGTGGTGCCAGAGGAGGGCAGGGTGGGACAGCGACCGACACAAGCACGACGCAGCCACTAGACCTGGCACAGCTACCTGACTGGACCTGGCTACCTGGTGGGACGGGGGAACCGGACGGGTGTCGGTGTGGAGGGTGTACAGACCAGAGCCCGGCTCCTGACGAAAAGTGGCCAGAGGGGCGTACGTGTCACCGTCCACACAGACTGCAGTGTCACCCGAAGGCTCAAACCAGACCCCGACGTGCTGTCTCGCCAGAGGAGCCACACCAACCAGGTGTCAAAAGTTAGAAGGAAGAAAGAGGGTTGAACTAGCAAGAATGAGGATACAAATAGCAAACCCTAGAAGGGTTGTACTCGCTATAGAGCACCCCACTACAGGCTAGAACAATAAGATAATATTCTGACACACCCCCATAGCCAAAGTGGGGTGTAATCAGCAGAGCAGGCAAAGCAAAACAAGCTCAGGGTGGATCACAATGTCACCACACATTCTGAGCACAAGTTCAAGAAGAAATAGTTTAGAGTTTACAATTATAAGCAAAGCTAGTGGTAGTCACAACGGGCAAGTGAGGAGGAGGAGGGAGAGTGAGGGGAGAGGAGACAGGAGGCGACGGCTGAAGCTGCAGACACACGGGCAACAGGAGGCAGACTGGCACAGCGGCTACCGGACAGCGCCCGGACTACAGGAGTAACAGGCCCCGCGGCTCAAATAGCGGCGGACGGGCAACGGACCCACGGGCGGCTGGCACAGCTGGCTACGACTGGGCTACCGGGACAGCGCCCCGGACTACAGGTGCTGCTGACGACAAACTGGCAACCTCCGCTCATCCTCCCGCACACAGTCCCACCCCCCTGATACACACCCACTGCTACACCACTAGCTCTACTCCCACGCACCCCCCTTAAACCCTAAACCCAGTCTCCCACACAACCACCCCCCTCAGCGACAGCTGCAGCAGTGGGAGACGAAGGAGGAGGAGGAGAAAGGGAGGAAGGCACACCGAGCACCCCCATACCCGCCACCCCACAGCTCGCCCCTCCCGTCGTCCGTCGTGGCGACCTGAGGGGGCCGCAAGCGGCCCCCTCAGGTCGCCACGACGGACGACGGGAATTGGGGGGGAGGGGAGAAAAAAGGGGGGGGGGGGGGACGGGGCCGGGGCCGCGACGAGGGGCGGGGCCGCGACGGTCGGGGCGGGGCCGCGACATAGGGGCGGGGCCGCGACGTAGAGCGGGGCCGCGTCAAGGGGCAGGGCCGCGACGATCGGGGCGGGGCCGCGACGTAGTGGAGAAGCCCGCCGCGCGCCTCGGGGCGCACAGCGGGCAATGAACCGCCGCGCGCCTCGGGGCGCACGGCGGGCAGAAAACCGCCGCGCGCCTCGGGGCGCACGGCGGGAGGAAAAAGTAGCAGCGGAAGCGAGGTGGTAACCCACCCACAGGATCGATCCAAAGGGATCGACCTGCTCTGATAGCATGTCAAAAGTTAGAAGGAAGAAAGAGGGTTGAACTAGCAAGAATGAGGATACAAATAGCAAACCCTAGAAGGGTTGTACTCGCTATAGAGCACCCCACTACTGGCTAGAACAATAAGATAATATTCTGACACCAGGTTCCTAGAGAAAGTAGGAACGTGGAGGCCGGTCAGAGAACCGGAAGGGGCAGCTGGGCACGGGAGGGTAGTGGCGTGAGTCGCAATGACCGGTCCCGAGGAGGGATCGGCCAGTGCTACAGAAACCGGCGCCGAGAGTGGAGTAAGAGTCGTGCTGTCGCGGAAGAAGCACTGCGTGGCTCCGGAGTCCAGTGTGAAGGAGAGCGACGCGTCCGCCGAGGGAGCACCTGTACTAGTAGCTAGACAGGATCCTACACCAGCACCTACTCTAGCAACAGGCAAAGATCCTACGCTAGGTACAGGCAAGTAAACAGATCCGACAGCACTATAGTCAACATCAGCATACATGGCATAAGACCTAGCATCATCCATAGACATGTCAAACACAGCAACACCACGAGCAAGGAGTGGTCCCCAGCGCGGTGGCGGGGGAGCGGAGGGACCGTGGTGCAGGACGTACAGGTCGTCAAGACGGCTGAAGCAGCGAGCAGCAGAGTGGTCAGGGCGGCCGCAGTACGTGCCCCTGCGCGGACCCGTCAGGATCCAGTACTCACAGGGACCAACGTCGCGGCCGGCCGATCGGGGTCCCCGACTAGAAGGGGCACCACTGCGCCCAGTGCTCGGGGGGCCCGTAGGTCTCCACTGCTGCGGGGGGGCCCACTGCTGCGAAGGGCCCCACTGCTGCTGAGTGCCCAACTGCTGCAGAGTGCCCCACTGCTGGGGCTGCTGCTGAGGCGGACGCTGCTGTTGGCCCTGGCGCTGTTGCTGCTGTCCCTGCCGCTGCTGCTGTCCAGGCGGTGGCAGCTGCGGAGGAGTCTGCTGCTGCTGCTGCGAAAACCCCTCACCACCGTCTAGAGGAGAGCCGTCAGGTCCCGAATCACCCCCGCCGCCACCCTCGCCACTAGTACTACCACCACCGCCGCCACCCGCAACACCCCCAGAACCCCCGCCGCCCTTCCCTCCCTTCTTGCCGGACTTGCCACGTTTCTGTCCGCCAGAGACAGAAACGGCCGCCGTCTCCTCAGAGGCAGAAGACGCGGCAGTGGCAAGCGAGGCAGTGAAGGTGGGAAGCTGTGGTACCGCACACCCCTCAAAGAGACGAGGAGGAGGCGCGGAAGAGGCGGAGGCAACTGCGAGGAGGTTACTCTCGATCTTCGAGAGAGCGGTCTCAAGAAGATCGATAGGAAGCTCAGTGGGGTGCTTCAGGAGAAGCGCGTCGCGGGCTGTGGCTAGACGGTCAGGGAGGCGAGTGACTAACCAGTGAATAGTGAGCCACATGGGGGGGGGTGCAAGGGCAAGCTGTTCCTCAGTGCAAGCGGCCTTGAAGCGAGCTTCAAGGGAGCGCAGGTGGGTAGCGAGGTCAGCGACAGTCTCAAAGGAGGCGAGGTCAGGGTAGATAAAGGGGACGAGGAGGCGGCTGAGGGAGGCAGAGGAGGGAGTGGAGTAGCGAGCAACAATAGCAGTGTAAAGGTCTGCAGCAGACTCGACCTGAGTGAAGTGGACAGCCTCAGTCGGCGGGAGAAGGTCGGTCAGGGCGAGGCAGGCAGCAGCGTCACGAGACTCCCACACGTCACGAGCGAGGAACCGGCGCTGGTACTCAGCCTCCTGCTCGGAAGTAGGCGGTGGGGTAGTGGGCAGCGGTGAAGGCTGCGGCGGGGCGGGCAGAGCACCGGACGCATGCGCAAACAGGTGCACGCCATCCTGGCGCTGGCTCCTAAGGTGGCGCTGGGCCTGCGTCAGCCAGGTACTAAAGTCGATCGCACGCCCCTCAGGGTCGAAACGGAGCACGCGAGACGTCGCCATGAGGGGCGAGGACAAGTGATAGCGGCCGCCAGCCGCGAGAGGAGGAGGAGAGGGAGGTGAGTGCGAGGCGGGTGCGCGCAGGCGGGGCGCGCACTGGCTGGGCGCGGGGCGGCGGGGCGCGCGCTGGCGGGGCGCGCTCCGGCGCGGCGCGCTGGCTGGCGTGGCGCACTGGCGGGCGGCTAATCAGGGCGCGCGCTGGCGTGCGCGCTGGCGGGGCCCGCTGGCGTGGCGCGCTGGCGGGCGCGCTAGCGGGCGCGCTGGCGTGCGTGCTGGCGGGCGCGCTGGCGAGCTCGCTGGCGGGCGCGCTGGCAGGCGAGCCGGCGGGCTCGCTGGTGCGCCCGCTGGCGGGCGCGCTGGCGGGCTGGCGTGCAAGCGGGCTGGCGCGCAGGCTGGCTGGCGCGCTGGCTGGCTGGCACGCTGGCGCGCTGGCTGGCTGGCGCGCTGGCGGGCTGGCGCGCTGGCTGGCTGGCGCGCTGGCGGGCTGGCGCGTTGGCTGGCTGGCGCACAGGCTGCTGGCGCGCTGGCTGGCTGGCGCGCTGGCTGGCTGGCTGGCGCGCAGGCTGCTGGCGCGCCGGCTGGCTGGCGCGCTGGCTGGCTGGCTGGCGCGCTGGCTAAGGGCGGGGAGGGGAGGGGCGCGCCGGCTGGGGCGTGGGGTAGGGCGCTGGCGGGCTGGCAGGGTGCAGTGGTAACCCTAGTGGTAGGGAAGGGCGGGCCTAGGACTAGGAGCGCTAACCTACTGCTGATACCATGTCAGAATGAGAACTACAGCGGAATGCGTTGTGTTGACAGAATTGGGGTACATCACCTAACCCTAACTAGTTGTACCCCATATAGCCCAACCCACTACAGGCTATAATATTTGACATTCCCGTAAGGAATCGGACTCGATAACAGCTATAATATGAATCTATAAGAAAAGGGGGGTGTTATAGAAAATCACCCCAAAAGGGGGGGTATAGTACAAACGGGGTCGGATATAACACCCACCCCGTATTAGCTACCCGGGGGTGTACAATTACGGGGGGGTGTTTTATCCGGGAGAATACGGTAAGCGAATAGCCAAAGAAGTGCGGAGTGCACTGCACTGCATGACCCCTACTTCACTCCTCGTCCGCTACTTGTGCAGCCCAGGCCAGCTCAAGAGCATGGCTAAGAGCCCGCTCTATAATCACATCAAAAGCATCTTTGAATGTGTCATCGTTACCGGCATCAGCATTCACTAGCTCATTTGTGCCTGCCTCCCCTTCACCCCCCCATGACAGCCCCTCTTCCTCTTCCTGCTCTTTGCTTTCACCTCTGTCGCTCTTTATCACCCTCCTCACCACCCCATCCTCGTCCCCCGTTCGCCTGTACAGCAGCCGAGGCAGCAGCTGCATGATTCTGTGCCTCATGCGAGTCACTTTATAAGGAGGAAAAGAGGAGAGAAGGGCAGACAGGTTGGCAGAGCCGTTCAAAATGGCTTCGGCTGGAATGAAGACGTAGAAAGGCGCGTTGCGGGGAGAGCGGGACGAGCGAGAGCGGGACGATGACACAGACACAGCATCCCCAGAAGCCCCGACCTCAAACTCGATCCGCTCCACTTCATGCACCGGCAAGTGCCAAGGGAACTGCCGTTGCACCGACCAATCGGAGAAGACCACGGGGATGCACCCTGCGAGCATGGCGTCGAAGAAGGAGCGGCGGGTGGGGCTGTCCCCCCAGGGCTGCAGGCAGAAGAGCGAGTCTAGGTGCACGCGCATGACAATGCGGGGGTAATCACACAGGTACACTGGGTTTGGCGCCACTGCTGCTGCCACCTCCTCCCCTGCCCCCGGGCATTCCCCATGCCGCCGCTGCTGCTTATGATGCTGATTGCTCTTGCTGGGTTTGTTGTTTGGATCTTCGCATTGGATTGCGCAGTCCAGGAATCTGCACTGCCGCCCGGCAGCGTCGCATTCGGCCATGAGTTTGTCTCGTAGTGCCGCCCCGGCCACAGCAGCGGGCTCGGCGCCGCCTCGCTGGGAGATGACGTCACTGCGCCTGGCGCCCACAAAGGAAAATAGATACCTCCGCTGCCGCCGCTGCTTCTCATGCTGCTGCTGCTGCTGCTGATGGTTCTTATGCTGTTGCTCTTCCTTCTGCTGCTGCTCTTGCTGCTGCTGCTGCTGCTGTTCCCGCTGCTGCTTCTGCTGCTGGCGCTGCTGCTTCTGCTGCTGCCGCTGCTGCTCTTGCTGTTGCTTCTCCTGCTCCCGCTGCTCGTGCTCCCGCTGCTGCTCCCGCTGCCTCTGCTGGTGTTGTTGCTGCTGCTGCAACGTCCGCAGCTGAGGAGGTGCCCTCAAATGCTTTGGACGATCAACATGAGGCGAATCAATGCTTGCAAGCCGCCGCCGTCGGTATTCCGTCCTCCCCCTCTCACCACTCTCCGCTCCCATGTCTCCCGCCCCTCTCTCCCTCAACCCCCCTCTGCCGTTCTTCCTCCTCTGAGCCTCACTCCCACCACCTTCTTCCCGCCGCCCCCCTCCTTCCCTTCCAAGGGCTCTCCTTTTCACCTTCCCTCTGTGCTGCAAGGTGGGCCCTGCTGAAGCAGCCGTCTTCTCCCCCTTGCTTGCTTTTCTCTCTCTGCTCTCCACTTCTTCCTCATCCTCCTCTTCTACACCCTCTTCCATGTCTCCTTTGTTTCCTCCTGCATCCCTCTCTCTTTCTCCCTCCTCCCCATCTCCCTCTTCTGCTACTTCCTCTCCCTTGCTCTCCTCTTGCTCGCCTCCCTCTCCTTCTCCCACCACCTCCTCGACCTGCCCTGCCCGCTTCTCACCACTGCTGCCCTCTGCCGCCTTGCCCTCCCCTCCCTGCTCGCTTGCACTGAGCCGCTCCTTCACGTCCCTGTCGTCCTCTCCCTCTACTTCCCCCATTTTCTTCATCTCATCCTCATCTTCCCCCTCCTCCTCTCCTCCTTCCTCTTCCCCCTCTTCCTTTCCCCCTTCCTCATCCGCCACTTGCGCTCCTCCTCTCTCCTTTCGGTCCATGCTCTCGCCCACCCCATCATCGTCGGTATCACCCAACACCTCTCTCTGCAGCTTCAACCAAGCTCGCTTTACACCATCTTCATCCTCTTCCTCCTCCTCACCCTCCCCTTTCGCCTCCTTTACTTTACTCTCTCCCTCCAAACCCCTTCTCTTCTTCTCACCCTCCCCTATCCCTTCCTCTTCGTCTTCGTCTCCCGCATCCTTTTCCCCTTCCACTTCCTCTTCCTTTTCCTCTCCCTTGTCCTTTTCCTCTTCCTCTCCCTTGTCCTTTTCCTCTTCCTCTCCCTTTTCCTTTTCCTCTTCCCCTCCCTTGTCCTTTTCCTCTTCCTCTTCCTCTTTCTCTTGTCTCTCCGTCTCACCCACCCCCTCATCTGTATCACCCAACACCTTCCTCTGCAGCTTCTCCCACACCTGCCTCACAACATCCTCCACCTCCTCCTCTTCTTTGTCCCCCTCCGTTTCCCCCTCTTCCTCGTCTCCCCTCTGCCTGTCCCTCCCTTTTTCTCCCTGCGTCGCCTCCTTCTCCTCGGCATCGGCATCACCATCATCTCCCTCACCTCCCTCTTCCTCCACCTTCCTTTTCTCCTCTGTCCCTTTCACAGTCTCCTTTCTCACCACCTCCTCCATATCCGATCCCTCCTCCTCCCCATCATCCCTCTCCTCCCCATCATCCCTCTCCTCCCCATCATCCCTCTCCTCCCCATCATCCCTCTCCTCCCCATCATTCCTCTCCTCCCCATCATCCCTCTCCTCCCCATCATCCCTCTCCTCCCCATCATCCCTCTCCTCCCCTAGTTTCTCCTCACCAATCTTCTTCCCACCTTTACTCTCCTCCTCCCCATACACCTGATTCTTCAGCTTCTTCCAAATCTCCTCAACTCGATCCCCCTCATTGCCACCATCACTGCCACCATCACTGCCACCATCACTGCCACCATCACTGCCACCATCACTGCCACCATCACTGCCACCATCACTGCCACCATCACTGCCACCATCACTGCCACCATCACTGCCACCATCACTGCCACCATCACTGCCACCATCACTGCCACCATCACTGCCACCATCACCATCACCATCTCCATCACCATCATCATCACCATCACCATCATCATCATCACCCTCCGCTTCCCCAAGCTTACGCTCCAAAGTTCTCACCACCTCCTCCACCTCTCCCCCTCTCCCTATTCCCTCCTCACCATCCTCTTCACCTCCAACTCCCTCCTCTTTCTCTCCCACGCCCCACTCACCCTCCCACTCCCCTTCCTCCCACTCCCCCACCATCACCTTGCTCCTCCACTCATCTAGCTCCCTTTTGGTCCGAGGGTGGAAGTAACTCGGATAAGGCACACTCGTTACAGGAACACCTTCAGGGTACGCCTCTATCCCCACTATCACAGCGTTGCCCTGCCGAACCAGCCGTGGGTCCCGAAGAAGCGCCGAGCCTGGCCCGGGGCAGGTCTGGTAGGGGAAGCGGAAAAACTCCATGGCAATGTGGCCGAGCAGGAGGAGGAGCGGAGGTGAGGCGGACGCCGCATCACCACCACTACTGCCACTATCCCCACCCCCATCCCCATCCCCATCCCCACCACCGCCACCACTATCACCGCCGCCACCAGCACCACTCCCGTGAGCAGTAAAGGCAGCATCCAGTGCAGCGAGGCCCAGGGCGTCGGTAACGGAGCAGTTGGGCGCGGAGGAGAGGTGGCGCTTGACATCGTAGCCGGGGTAGTAGGGCACATACACCAGCTGTGCTGCAGCACGGTGGGGGGTGAGGCACGGGTACTGCTGCAGCCGCACGTGGAACAGCCGCTCCAGGGCGAACTGGCTGGTGGTATACCACCCGGGGCCGCCTATGTCCACCTGAGCAGTGGGTTCGAGAGAGTCTGCTGACTCTGCGGTTGAGTCTGCTGACTCAGTGCTTGTGTTTGATGAGTCAGTGGTCGTGTCTGCTGACTCAGCGCTAGAGTCTGCTGACACCACGAGAATGTCTGATGACTCAGCATCGGTTGCTGTTGCAAGCGTCTTCCTGCTGTGGCTGTAGCCCAGTTTGCCTCTGCTGCTCGCCTTCTCTCTCTTCACCCCTCGACTCCGTTTCTTCCTTCGTTCCCTGCGCTTGGACCTGGTAAAGGAAGCTGAAGCATCAGGAACCTCGAAATCGGTATTGGAGCGCCTTGTATCGCGTACAGGGCTGGCAGCAGCGGGGATGGGGAGCCCCATGCCATGGCAGGCGGCTAGATGCGGGTGGGCGGAGGGCGGACACACATTGGGGCATTGGGCGAGCAAGTGGCGGTTGAAGCGCGCAGGGAGGTCCAGAATGAAGATGCGCCGCCCCCTGCACGCGTCCTCACCGCCCTCCTCCGCACTGCTCGAGCCTCTCAAGCTGCCGCGGGATCGTTCGGTACCGTGCCTGCTGCTGCGGCTGCTGCTGCCAGTAGTGGCCGTGTGGTTGCTGCGGTGTGTGGCAGACGAACCACCGGCGTTGCTGCCAGACCTGATGCCTAGTCGGTCCCTTCTGCTGCTGCTCCTTGCTGGAGACTCGCTTCTTTGTCGTTTCATTTGCTGCTCCTCCTGCTGCTGCTGGGGGCCAGCGCTACCCGCCTCGGCCTCTCCCTCCGCCCCCCCATGCGGTTCCTCAAGCGAACCACCCCCCCTCGCTCCCACGCCCTCGCCTTCCCCTGCAGATGCCACTGCAGGTACGCCCGCTGCCGCACTGGCTGCTATGCTTGCACCTGATTCTTCTCCCAGTCCTCCCCCTCCCCCTGCTGCTAGTAATGATGCGGCGGATACGGATGGCTGTGCTGGCGTCGCTAATCTCCCGTCGCCCGCCAACAGAAGAGTCTCTCGTCGCACCACGCCGACTCCGCTGTGCGACGCGTCCTCCCTCTCGCCTGCTCCTAAAATTTTGGGTCCACGTGGCAGCGCGCTATGTGGCAAGGAGGTGCGGTTCGCCGCGAGCAGCAGCAACAGGGTCGGTATTGCGAAGAGCAACCCTAATCGCGTGGTTCGCGAAAATGCGAGGTTCGTCGCGGTGGTAACTACCCATCGCGTGGCACCGGAAACTACACGTGAGTGTGTCGGCCGGACTCTAGGAAAGTGTCGCCTCGAGTCCATTCCTGACGTCAGTTACCGTACAACATGGCTCGCTGACGTCAGACCAGAGTGTGACTACTTGGAAGCATTGCTCGGCGTCAGTGGCTTACGAAGCTGCCATTCACATGATCTTATGTTCACAGCTCATACGTCGCAGTCGTTGATACGGACAGTAGCGGAATTTGCGGAGGCGCGATCGGCGGCAGGAAGGGCCGCAGTGAGGCCGTCACCTGTCAAATTCTGATCACCTACGAGAGTAACCAGCGTTGTGGTTTCGTCAACCTGGGTCGCGCGCGATGACACCAGTGCTTTTTCGATAACCATTCGGTCGACCATGTAGCCGTCGCAGACGTGACGAGTGACAAAAATATTGCACTGTGCAAGTTGAGTTCGTATCACATCGCACGGTGCCTGCGTTGGCAGGGTTGGGTGACCAGGGAGGTGGCTGCTTTTGCAGACGGGAAGTTGGCAGCACCTTTCGCAAATTCGCGCCTTGGGGTTACTCATCGCAAGACAAAGCGGTGCTTTCTTGTCCCTCGGTGAGACACAGTTCGAACCTCACTTCGTCGTATGCCACAAACGATCGAGTAGGCTCCAATCTGGTGCCGCGTTTCAGAACCGAAACGACATGAAGTCATTTCAGGTGACAGAAAAGGCGACCATTTGGTGGTGGCAACAAAAATGTCATTCGGCAACATTGCACCCTCGTCCAACTTCGTGCTCGAAATTCAAATGACGCGCAAACTATAGAACCTCGAGATTGGAACCACGCTTACAAGTTTGCCTACAGATCTCCTTGTTACCTTTTTTTGCTGCCTCTGCTCAGCTTGACGAGCACCTAAACCCTCGCTGCCCGCTAACATGGCGCTTGCTGTCGCAGCGCCCGCGCAATCCGCGTCGCCAGCAATCCTTTCCCTCGATCGTGCGACTTCCAGCCGCGCCTCGCATGTGTCGCACATCTCGCAAGTCGCCACAGCGCGCGCATTTCCGCGGGACGCGCGCCTTGCGGCGCACCTCGATGCCTTCGCGCTAGCCAGCGCAGCGAGGCCGTCCGCGCGGCAGGATTCGCACAAGCACCGCGCATGGCGCCTGCGAACCCGCGGGAGGACAGGTGAGGGCAGTAGATGCGATCCAACTGACCAGGGTGAATGAAAGGGACGCTGCGTTGCTGGGCTCGTTTCAGTGAGGCTTAGCTCGTCGCTCACATTCCCCTCTGGCGAGCCCTGATAAGCTCCTCCTCTTTCTCCCATGCTTATGCGCCGCGCCGTCCCTCCTCGCGTTGTTCTCGTTCATGGCTGCGCCCGTTTCGGTTGTTTTTTTTTTTTGTTTTTTTTGTTTTTTTTTTTTCTTTCTTTCTTTCTTTTTGGTTTTTTCCCCATATTGCATAAACCCTGATTTTCCGTCGCACTCCTTGCCTGGTGCATCGCAGGCGACGATGCGACGTTGTCGTCATCGTCGGATGACGTGCCCAAGGAAGCGAAGGAGCGAGCAGCGGCACAGGTGAGGCTGTGAGTGAGGACCTTGGGATTGCCGTCTGCACTGGCGTGCTGGTGCGAGCATGCGCAGTGCAAAGGGACTGGCGGAACGCACAGGAGGCCCACCACTGCCGCCACTCGTGAGGCTGTCTGTACAGGGCGCCCATGTGGCACTGTCCCCTTCTCCATGTGGTAACTTCCTGCTCATTACACTCCGATCCTGCTGCCCATTGCCGGTCTTCATCTATTGCTCGTGCATCAAGCCAGCCAGTTATGCCACGTGCCACATGCGGGTCACTGCCTTGCCGTGCCAGCCATGCAGTACTGACGGTTTTTGGCTCAATGACGTGCCAAGGGCTGCCTCTTCTGTCTGTGTGCCATGCACTGCCTGCCTCTGTGTGTGTGTGTGTGTGTGTGTGTGCGTGTGTGTGCGTGTGGGCGAGCATGCGAGCAGGAGAAGGCGCGATCACTGGTGGGCGACCTGAAGGGCACCAGCATCTTCCTCGTCGGTGCGTGCCGTGCCACACTGCCACGCCAAACACACCACCCTCTTTGCCTCATCACCCTCTTCTGTCGCACTGCATATTCCATGTTTGGCACCACTGTACCGTTTTTGTATCGCATCACTCTATGTTTGCATCACTCTCAGCACATCACTCTATAATGCACCTGTCCATTACAGGCATTACCCCATGCGTGCATCCCATCACCCATGCGTGCATCCCATCACCCATGCGTGCATCATCCCATCACCCATGCGTGCATCATCCCATCACCCATGCGTGCATCATCCCATCACCCATGCGTGCATCATCCCATCACCCATGCGTGTGCCACGGTGTGAGCAGGCATGATGGGCAGTGGCAAGACCACAGTGGGCACGCTCCTCGCTGACCTGCTCGGCTACTGCTTCTTCGACAGGTGCCCGGGGCTCCTCTTGCCACTTCCCTTCCCTTCCCTCCCTCCCCTCCCTCGCTTCCTTCAACCCTCCCTCCCTCCCTCCCTCCCTTCCTCCCTCCCTCCCTCCCTCCCTCCCTCCCTCCCTCCCTCCCTCCCTCCCTCCCTCCCTCCCTCCCTCCCTCCTTCCCTCCCTCCCTCCCTCCCTCCCTCCCTCCCTCCCTCCCTCCCTCCCTCCCTCCCTCCCTCCCTCCATCTCTCCGCACGCTCTCTTCCTCTCTCCATCGTCGGCACATCACTGCCTGCTTTCACATCTCACCTACGCTTGCGTTCCCTTTCCACATTTTGTACCATAAGCGTGTGGCGCACACATAGTGCTCGTACATTGCTATACGCTTATTCCTGCTCTTGTGGCAAACGCCCTCTTCTGCTACCCTCCTTCCGTGCCTCTCATCACCTTCTCATCACCTTCTCATCACCTTCTCATCACCTTCTCATCTCCTGTTCCTCCCCCCCCATGCTTTGTCTTGCATGCTCTCGCCGTGCCTCCCCTGCCTCTTCTTCTCCCTCTCGCCCACCCGCCTGCCCGGCAGCGACCGGGTGGTAGAGGCGGCAGCAGGGGGCGCGTCGGTGGCGCAGATATTCGCGGAGAACGGCGAGGAGGAGTTTCGCGAAATTGAGGTGCGGCGGAGGTGGGGGGGAGAGGGGGGAAGGGAGAAGGGGGAAGTGAGAGGAGGGTGGGGGGGAAAGGAAACGAGAGGGGGGAACGGAGTGAGGGGAAGGGAGTGTTGGGGGGAGGGGAGAGGGAGAGGGGGGAAGGGAGTGGGGGAAAGGGAAGGAAGTGTGAGCTGGTGTGTTATGTGGTTACCAGACGAGCCGGTGTTTGCGTGCCAGCTACACGAGCTTAACAAGGTGGTTTGTTTCTCAATACCAAGCACACCCTGAACCTTTCTACAAATGGGCCAGCAGTGCAGCTTGTACCTGCAAAGCAAGTTCCCCCTCAATGCTTCTCGCCAGTGTGACATGCTGCTGGGGTCGTCTTCTCGCCTGTGTGACATGCTGCTGGGGTCGTCTTCTCGCCTGTGTGACATGCTGCTGGGGTCGTCTTCTCGCCCTCCTTGGCCTGCTTTCACGCTTCAGTGCGGCCAAGCCAAGCCATTGTCCATGGGTGCACACCTCCACATGCACCTTGTCTTCGCCCCTCAACATCCCCCGCCGCTCCCCTCCCCTCCCCTTCTCTTCCCTCCCTCCCCTCCCCTCCCTTCCCCACTCTCTCCCTCCCATGCCGTCCCCTCGTCTCCCCTTGGCGTCCCTGTTCCTGACCCCCCCTGCACAGACGCGAGTGCTGGCGGAGCTGTCGTCCATGGGTCGACTCGTGGTGGCCACGGGTGGGGGGGCTGTCACTCGCCCTGTCAACTGGTCAGTTCTGAACTGGCTTATGCGCTCACAAGGTGCTTGGCTCACAAGGTGCTTGGCTCACAAGGTGCTTGGCTCACAAGGTGCTTGGCTCACAAGGTGCTTGGCTCACAAGGTGCTTGGCTCACAAGGTGCTTGGCTCACAAGGTGCTTGGCTCACAAGGTGCTTGGCTCACAAGGTGCTTGGCTCACAAGGTGCTTGGCTCACAAGGTGCTTGGCTCACAAGGTGCTTGGCTCACAAGGTGCTTGGCTCACAAGGTGCTTGGCTCACAAGGTGCTTGGCTCACAAGGTGCTTGGCTCACAAGGTGCTTGGCTCACAAGGTGCTTGGCTCACAAGGTGCTTGGCTCACAAGGTGCTTGGCTCACAAGGTGCTTGGCTCACAAGGTGCTTGGCTCAAAAGGTGCTTGGCTCACAAGGTGCTTGGCTCACAAGGTGCTTGGCTCATTCGTGTACTTGGTTGGCACGTGCTGGTTGAGATGCCGTGCCATCCCGTGGAGTGGAGAGGGGTGGAGTGGAGTGGAGTGGAGTGGAGTGGAGTGGAGAGGAGTGGTGCATGGATCACATTGCGCCTCCTACACTCTCCCACCCTCTCATTCAGTCAATCATCCCTCTCAAAACCTATCTCTCCCACGGGGTCACAGTACATTTATACGTGCTCATGGAGCAGACTGGCACCCAGTGCAGGCAGGCTCGTGCCTCTCACTTGCCCCCTCCCTCAACGAACCCTCCTTGAGCTACCTGTCGCACGGGGAGCACCTGGCAGAGAGGGTAGGCTCGTGGCCTCCTCTCGTATCCCTTTTCTTCGGCTTGACCCTTGCACCCACCAGGACCTACCTCTCCCCAAAAGTCACGGTGCGTCTCCACTTGCCCATGGAGCACCTGGCAGGCAGAGCGGTGGGGTTGTGGCTCATCTCATCCCTGCTTCCCCCGCATGCACCTCGCATCGCAGGAGCTACCTCTCCCATGCTGTCACCGTGCATCCGGACGTGCCTGTAGAGCAGAGCACCTGCCAGAGGGAGTGGCCTCGTGCCTCGTGGTGGCCTCGTGGCTTCCTCTCTTATCCAGACTCTCGCCTCTTTCCCCATGCACCCGCGCAGGAGCTACCTCTCGCACGGGGCGACAGTGCACCTGGACGTGCCCGTGGAGCATCTGGCAGAGCGGGCAGTCTCATGCCTCATGGTAGCCGCGTGGTGTGCTCTCTCTCATCCCTGCTCCCTCCCCAACGAGCCCACCAGGAGCTATCTGTCGCACGGGGTGACAGTGCATCTGGACGTGCCCGTGGAGCATCTGGCAGAGCGGGTCGTGGCGGTGGGCACAGCTGTGCGCCCGCTGCTCTCGCAACCCACGCAGGGGGAAGGGGAGGGCGGAAAGCAGCAAGCAGCAGATGAGAGCGATGAGTACGGCAAGGTGAGCGAGGAGTACAGCAAGGTGAGCGATGAGTACAGCACGGTGAGCGATGAGTACAGCAATGTGAGCGTTCACTGCACGGCATTGGCATTGGCACTGGCACTGAAATTGCTTTGCCTTCTGTTGCGTAAATCCATGGAAGGGGTTGAGGGGGGAGGCGATGAAAGCAGCAGGCAGCGCATGAGAGCAATGATTACTGCAGACAGATTGAGCTCAGCCTTGCTGGGGCAGAGTGAGCTCGGCCTTGCTGGGGCAGAGTGAGCTCGGCCTTGCTGGGGCAGAGTGAGCTCGGCCTTGCTGGGGCAGAGTGAGCTCGGCCTTGCTGGGGCCATGGCTGTGGTGGTGGCGTGGCCATGGGCACGGCCATTCACGTGCAGCGGGGGGACTGTCTGAGGAGGTGGAGGCGAGGGGAGTGAGCGGCCTGCACCAGGTCACGGAACAATGCAACTTGCTGCTGCCTACTGGATCGCTGAACAGCCTTTGCCCTCTCTCGTTTTCTTCCCTTAGCTCACGCCTGCGTGCTCATTGGCACCTCCCTTGCAATGCCGCCTTCCCCCCTACCTGCATGGCCAGACGTTGACGCGCCTGGCGGGGCTATTAGGGGAGCGCAAGTCGCTCTACAGCAATGCAGACACCACCATCTCCCTGCAAGGTGCGCTCTCCCCAAACCTCTCCTCTCTCCCCCAACCCCCCGCTCAACCTCCTGTCTCCCCCTACCGCTTGTCTTACCCTCTCACCCCTCCCCTCACCTGTCCCGCTTCACCCTCCCACCCCGCGCCATCCTTCATGCCTGGCTGCTGACCCTCGCTCAAGCTTCGCTTGACATCTGCTCCACCGCTCCACCGCACACCACCCCTTTGCCCCCACCGTGCGCCACCCCTTTGCCCCCACCGTGCGCCACCCCTTTGCCCCCACCGTGCGCCACCGTTTGCCGCATCTTCCGTGTTGCTCTTGAGTGAACCAATCCTTGTGTGCACAACCCTTCCCCCATGCATCTGCTCTGCATCTGCTTCACGTGCAGAAGTGGCGATGCGCTCTGCCTCACAAGTGCACGAGGTCACACCCACACGAATCGCTCTCGAGGTCAGTCTAATTCTTCGAAGTACTCTTTGCACACACACAAGCGCTTCTAAAGAACACGAAAGGCTTTGCCTTTGGCACACTGCTTTGAAGTCAGTTGGATGTGCGCTGCTTCCCCAACCAATTGGGAAGCGTTTCCCTTTACATTTGAGACGTCTCAGTAGTGATGCCGAGAGCCACCCAACTCATGGCGCGTGTCCCTTGCTGTTGGTAAGGTCTCTGAGTATTGCCATCCTGCCAACACCCCAACATGCATGTCGTTCTGATGAATGTTGTTTCACAAATTGCAAGATACAGACTGCTTGTAGTGGGGGGAGAGGGGGGAAGGAGGGGGTGTAAATCACAGGAAGAGCAGACACTCAGTGATCATCATGTGGGCGTGGTTGCTGGTTGCTGCTGGTACATGCGGGTTCACAGATTCGTAGGTAAATCCTCACTGGCTTTCTGCACTGCCCTGTGCATTGCTGTCCCCCTGATGTTTCTGCTGTGCCCTGTCATGCGCCCATGCGGTGGTGCCGTGTGCTGTGCTCCTCAGATCTTGGAACGGCTGGAGCAGATGGTGGCGGAGAGGCAGGCCAGAGACGCTGCCCTCAGAGCCAAGGCAGCCTAGTGGACACTGCTGCTGCACACAGCCCCTGCTGAAGGCAGCTCTGCTGGGGGCAGAGCACCACTCCCACCATCTCACGTACTCGTTGAGCACTTGCAGCTATTTGTCCAACCCATGCTGCTTGCCACAGCTGCTAACAAGCTTCTCTCTCCCACCTTATCAACTCTTATCAACCCCTCTCAACCTCTCTCAACCAGTCTCGTTCATTCTTGAAGTTGATGTGGCCCATTTCAGCCGATCAGCCGATCAGTTGTGCTGCACATGGTTTGAAATGTTTGGCTAGTGCCTCCAGTCACACAAGCAGCAGTCAAATTTAAGTGATTGATAAGCAACTAATTGCTCCTAAGCTGATACGGTAGGTCTGTAGATCATGCAAACCATCAATACCATCAAATTAGCTGCATACAGAGTTGGATGATACCATGATTAGGCCAGTGTGTATTGCAGTACTGATTCAGTCTTCACGACGACCACTCCATCTAGAAGACTAATAAGAAATTAGTGAACAGGCAGTTCAATCATGAGTCATTGCTAGCTCAGTGTGACCGTAATGGCAACACTACCATCCCCGCACAGAACCACCACCATCTCTGCGCCACGTGCGCCCAGACCCCTCTTGGCCCCTACGCCTTTCCCCCCCACTGCGCGCTGCATCCAAACCGTTATCCCCTCACAACAGCCCTCCACTTTCAACCACCGTCGCATGCTCATTGCATCTCTCCCCTGCCCTCCCCACGCTGTGTTCCATTGCCTGACAAAGCTGAGTCGGAACCTCACCCTTCCACTCCTCACCTGCCCTCTCCCTCGCGCCTGCTCCCGCGTTGCCTCAGCCCCCCCTCCCCACTGCTCCCCGCGCTGAAATCCCGCATAGCCACATCGCCCCCATCCTCGTCCCCCTCGCTGCGCCAGTTGGGGCGCAGTGGCCCCGGCACAGGGGCGTTGTGCGCGGTGAGAGCTGCCTCTGCCTGCTCGCCCAGGCGCCGCAGCACGGCCATGATGATGGGGCCTGCCCGCGCTGCCAGGGTGATCAGCCCAGGCACCTGTATGCAGGAAAGGGGCAGACAGGGGGGAGAGGAGGGGGGATGAGAGGGAAGTGAGATTCTAGGAGCTTTCAATCATGGCGCGTCTGCCTGCTCGCCCAGACGCTGCAGCACACGATGATGATTAGGTCCTGCCCGGGTAGCAAGAGTGATGAGACCAGGAAGCTGCAGGAGGGAGAGAGAAGAGGGGGGACGGTGGAGGGGTGGATGAGTGATTTCTAAGGGTCTTAAGAGTTTAGGGTCGCCGTGGAGGGGTGGATTCTAGGGGTCTTTAGAGTTTAGGGTCACGGTGGAGGGGTGGATGAGTGATTTCTAGGGGTCTAGAGAGTTTAGGGTCACGGTGGAGGGGTATGAGTGATTTCTAGGGGTCTTTAGAGTTTAGGGTCAGGGTGGAGGGGTGGATGAGTGATTTCTAGGGGTCTTTAGAGTTTAGGGTCAGGGTGGAGGGGTGGATGAGTGATTTCTAGGGGTCTTTAGAGTTTAGGGTCACAGTGGAGGGGTGGATGAGTGATTTCTAGGGATCTTAAGAGTTTAGGGTCACGGTGGAGGGGTGGATGAGTGATTTCTAGGGGTCTTTAGAGTTTAGGGTCACGGTGGAGGGGTGGATGAGTGATTTCTAGGGGTCTTAAGAGTTTAGGGTCACGGTGGAGGGGTGGATGAGTGATTTCTAGGGGTCTTTAGAGTTTAGGGTCACGGTGGGTGCGCCTCCAATAATCTTCTTCCATTACTATGTCATACGCATCAATCGACAAGCCTTTAAACACCCATCAAAGCACGGCAGCACCTTAGATCAGGTTGCAACACAGGCAGCAGCTACCGTGTGTTGGGATGGGACAAAGCATCTGACCATGCCGTTGTCGAATATGCCCCCCAGGTCTAGCTGAGACATGACCTCCCGCCCCATGAAGAAGAGAAACACTCCCAGTAGCAGCAGCACGGGGTTCCTGTGGCAGGGGACGGCGGGGGGGGGAGAGGAGAGAGAGGGCGCAGGGAGAAGCAGCCAGCAGGGAAAGGAAGGAGGTGGGGGTGCATGGAAGGGGTGAGCTTGCTCACTGCAAAGATCAAGGCCTTCTAGGCCGTGTTGGTTCAAATGCTTGGTGTGGCTTGCTGAGGTCGGAGCAGCTCCTACCAACACCCTACTGCCGATGGTCAAGCAAGTGTTTGGCCATGCAGCAGGTGCAGCAGACAGGTCAGGCCTTGCCGATGCTACCTGGCACACTACCTTGCCGATCCTACCTGGCACACTACCTTGCCGATGCTACCTGGCACACTACCTTGCCGATGCTACCTGGCACACTACCTTGCCGATGCTACCTGGCACACTACCTTGCGAACTGCAACAACGAGAAGTAATCCCACCTGAGCACAGCCATGAACTCGTTCCACCCCACCTGAGCACAGCCATGAACTCGTTCCACCCCACCTGAGCACAGCCATGAACTCGTTCCACCCCACCTGAGCACAGCCATGAACTCGTTCCATCCCAGCACCACCATGGCTAGGATGGCCCACGGCGGGGGCAGCCACGCGTTGTTGCGCCGACTCGCCTCCTGTGAGGGATGGGGCACGGGGAAGAAAGGAGAGACAGGGAGAAACATCAACGATCGCATACAGGTGGCACAGATTGCCGTCCAGCTTGCCGTCCAGCTTGCCGTCCAGCTTGCCGTCCAGCTTGCCGTCCAGCTTGCCGTCCAGCAAGCACTTGCTCTGATCTTGTGGGACCCGGAGCAAGAGTACATTGTCAAAGCCGATACTTTCTTGTCGAAACCAGGCAGTGGAGCAGTTTAAGGTAAGAGCAAGGAAAAGGAGTCAGGGAGAGCAAGGAAAAGGAGTCAGGGAGAGCAAGGAAAAGGAGTCAGAGAGAGCAAGGAAAAGGAGTCAGGGAGAGCAAGGAAAAGGAGTCAGGGAGAGCAAGGAAAAGGAGTCAGGGAGAGCAAGGAAAAGGAGTCAGGGAGAGCAAGAACACCAAGATCAGTAGGCAAGTATGTGGGGCAGAGCTGAACTCTACCATTCTCCCCGCAGCGCACCTGCGTCTGCATGGCCTGGGCCACCACGTACTGAGTCTCCGCCTTGAACTTGCCCCACAGCGCTCGGCACTGCCCGGGTGTGAGGAACGTGCAGTCGGGGGCGATCTGATGGGCGGGGGGAGGAAGGGGGGGAAAGGGCGCTTGCGCAGGACTTGGCAGCAAAGGTGGGTACGAGGATGCTGGTCGTTAGGCAATCTGGCGCACTGGAGACTAGTTGATTTCTGGTGGTGGAAGAAAAACAAACGAGAATGGGAATAAAAAGGGGAAAGGACAGGAAGGAGGATGTGATGATTAAAAAACAGCGCCTCACCTTGTCTTGTCCCATGTGCAAAAAGCCAAGAAGCATTGCCATCCACTCCCTCTTGCCATCAACCGACTCACCTTTTCCCACTTGCTTGCCGCCAGCAGCCCTGCCGACGTGAACACCCGCTGCACTCTCCTGCTCCCCGCCTTCCCCTCCCCTTCCCCTTCCCCTTCCCCTTCCCCTTCCCCTTCTACTTCCCCGTCCCCCTCCCCCGACTCCCCGTCCTGGGTCCGAGACGAGTCACCGCCCTCCCCAGGAGCGCCCTCCCCCAGAAGAGACAAGAGCGTGGGCTCGATGGAGTCGTCTACCGTGTCCAGGCGCATCGCCGCCACCACTGCCAGCAGCCGCAGCGCCTGATGGGGCGGAGACCGGGGAGAAAGAGGAGGCAAGAGGAAAGAAGGATGGAAGGGGGCAAAGAGGGAAAGGGAGAAAAAGGAAGGGAGAAAAAGGAAGGGAGAAAAAGGAAGGAAGAAAAAGGAAGGGAGAAAAAGGAAGGGAGAAAAAAGAAGGGAGAAAAAGGAAGGGAGAAAAAGGAAGGGAGAAAAAGGAAGGGAGAAAAAGGAAGGGAGAAAAAGGAAGGGAGAAAAAGGAAGGGAGAAAAAGTAAGGGAGAAAAAGGAAGGGAAAGCAGGGAGGGAAAAGGGGAGGGGAGATACGGAGGTGGACGACGTCTGCTCGGCAAGCGCAATTCAGGGTACAGGGTTTCGGCAGCTCAGCAACCCCCCCCCCCTCCTCCTCCCCCTTTTCACCACCTTCCCCCCCCTTCACCACCTCCTCTCCCCCTTCACCACCTCTCCCCCCTTCACCACCTACCCTCCCCACACTACCTCCCCCCCCCCTTCACCATCTCTCCCCCCCTTCACCACCTCTCCACCCCCTCACAGTCTCCTCCCTCCGACCCCCCCTCACCCCCTCCCTCCCTGTGTGCCTCACGGCCTCCCTCCCTGTGTGCCTCACCGCCTTGCGAGCATCGAAGGCAATGGCCTTGATGTCGTCTCCCTCCGTCCACTTGCGCGGCAGACCCTGGTCGTCCTGCGAGAACACCACGAAGAACCTGTGCATTGCCAAGTCAGGGAGAGGGGTGAATAGCTCTGCAGTGCTGTTTTATTTGGGTGCCTTTAAAACGCACTTGCGCGGCAACCCCTGGTGGTCTGCAGATTCCAACGGCAGGGGGAGGAATGAAGTGCAAAAGGGTGGTGCAGTGTGAATTCAAGGAGTCCACTATACATTGCATGGGCAGCATGGAGAGGAATGACGAGCGGTGCAGAGCAGTGGAGGACGAATTGAAGGGCATAGTGGATGGATGACATGTGTCCTGTAGACGGGAAGCAAAGACTCTCTTCTCCACACACACACACACACACACACACACACGCACGCACGCACGCACGCACGCACGCACGCACGCACACAACACCACAGAATTCAGTAACCACCGTCATGAGTCCACTCCGCCACAACCCCTCCTCCCCAATCCTCACAACCAGACGTTCCCTCAACCAGCTCACTCCACTCCTCTCCACTCCACTCCAGGAGAGGCAGCACAAGCTCACTCTTTCACCACACCCGCTGCTCCTCCATCCGCACACTCAAGAGTCCACTCCCAATCAATCAACCCCACTTTCGAGTCCCAAACAGCCCAACCCAAGGCGGCGTGGCCATCAACTCGCACCTGTCCTTCATGAGCGACAGCGCATGCTTGCTCTCCCTCTTCACCCGCTCCTCCACCACCTTCCTCCCCGCCGCCTCCACCGCGCCCTTGAGCCGTGTGTGCTCGTCGTCCCCCAGCTGGAACCCCGCCACGGCCTGCTCCACGTCGCTGCATGCGCCGTCCAGCTGGTGGAAGAACACGGCTCGGATGTCCCGCCACGTGTTGTCCGTCACTGCCTCTAGCAGCGCTGCTATGGGCTCCGAGATTGCCTCTGACAGGGACGCCTGGGGAGGAGAGGAGGGGGCGGAGGGTGGGTGGGAGGCAAGAGATGGGAAGCGAGAGGTACGGAGCAAGAGGAGTCATCAAGCGCGGCTGCTCCTCGTCCTCCGCCAGGAGAAACTGCTCGGATATCCCGCCACGTGTTCTCTCTGATGGCTTCTCGTTCTGCCGCTATGGGCTCTGATACGTCGTGTGATAGGGACGCCTGCGGGCGGCAAGAAGGGGGATGCAAGAGGAGGAAGAAAGAGGTGGGAGCGGGCAGTAGGATGGAGGGTTGGGGGCTCTTGAGCGACATGAACTGAATCTCGAGCAAACATATCCTCCTCTTCATCATGCCAAAAGCCTAACCCTCACAACATCCTCTGGAAACAAACGACCCGTCCAGTCAGACACACACCACCTACCCAAACCAAACCACACTCACCTCTGCATCCGTGACGATCTGTTTGAGCTTCTGTGATCGCAGCAACGCCACGTGGGATTCCATATCAGCCATGAGCTTCGCCGTCACGTCCTCCACCGACCAATTGAACAGCGCCACGTCAGCGTCTGGAATTATGGGGCAGAGACAGAAGCAGCGAGTCAAGGCAAGTTGAGCACAACAGCAGGCCTCGGTTGTCGCCTTCATCAGCAGCCAACTCGGGGATTGGAGGTGGGCAGAAGAATCGAATGCGAGCGTGGAATGTGCATGCAGTGAGGAGGAGCAGCACCGGCATGGCAAGCTAGCACAGCGTTCCCATTGGGACACAACACAACACAGCACTCACCCTCAACATCGGAGTCAAAGGAGACAGCAGCAGCCTGCAGGCACGCAGCAGAGGAGTTGGCAAAGGAGGCAGCGCTGCCCTCTCGCCCCCCTGTCTCTTCGTCCAGGTCCCTCTTGAAGGAATCGAAGCAGCGAGCTGCTGCCGCCGCCACCACTGCCGTGTGCACTGGGCGGATGAGCTGATTGGAGGTGGCGGGCCAGAGGGTGCGCACAGGGAAGGGATGAAGAGGTTAGGACGACACAAGAGAGACGTGGGTTGGTCCCCTTTGCAGCCCCCCTGTGACGCAGCGAGCTGCTGCCGCCGCCACCACTGCCATGTACACTTGACGGATGAGCTGATTGGAGGGGGGAGACGGCTGGGGTTGGAAAGAGAACAGGAGACGTGCGGCATGGGAACACAGGTGTGAGGAGTAAGGGGGAGCATGAGGTAGAAAGGGTGCTGGCAATACAGCTAGCATTAAAAGGTCGAGGGAGATGGCAGCATGAGGGCTTGGGGGAAACAAAGTTCAAACCCATTGGAAAGAAAGAGGATAAGAAAAGAGAGAACGAGATTTAAGAGACGAGAGAAACAGAAACCAACGGGAGCAGTTCCAAGTATCCCAAGCCCAACGCACGTGGAAATTCAAGCCTCTCTTTCCCCCCGCCTGCCTCCTTTACCCCTTGCAGCACTCACGGCGCTCATGCCCCCTTGCAGCACTCACGGCGCTCATGCCCCCTTGCAGCACTCACGGCGCTCATGCCCCCTTGCAGCACTCACGGCGCTCATGCCCCCTTGCAGCACTCACGGCGCTCATGCCCCCTTGCAGCACTCACGGCGCACATGCCCCCTTGCAGCACTCACGGCGCTCATGCCTTTGAGCAGGAACTGGCGCTTGCTGTCCCTCACTCCCTCCTCGAAGTATGCCGCCTCCGAATCGTACCTGGAAAACAGTGCAGGGGGGGAACACGGGAAGCAGTAGAGGAGAGGCAGCAAAGAAAGACTCAGCAGAGGGGAAGAGGGAGTGCAGAAGGAGTATACACGCGGCACGCCCATCACACCCTCCTCAAAGTATGCTGCCTTCGCATCACAGCTGGGAAGCAGTGCAGAGGGGGGGCACAGGAAGCAGTACAGGAGAGGCAGCAGACGAGAGGGAATGAGGACAGGGTGAACACGCATGGGGCATGTCCCTTTCTCTGCGCCCTAGCTGAGAGGAAGGTGAGAGTGGTGATGGGAGCGTGGAAAGCGGGCATTCTCGATCCCTCCCGCTGCCTCGCCGTTGCCAGTGAACAAACGCAGAGGAACGGAAGCAGCGATAGGGAGGCGGAAGGAATAGTAGACAAGCTGAGGAAGGGATAGTAGACAAGGTGAGGAAGGGATAGTAGACAAGCTGAGGAAGGGATAGTAGACAAGCTGAGGAAGGGATAGTAGACAAGGTGAGGAAGAGGAAAGGAAAGGGAAAGACAGTGCGGAAAGAGAGAAAACAAGAACGTCAATTCCAACCGAAAGAATGCCGTGCCATGGCTTGCCATGCATGCCCCCCTCATGAAGCAGTATTTATGCGAAGACCCCCACTCTCATGCCGTACAACAATGTCATGCCATACCATATTAAGCCATGCTATGCCATACCAAGGCAAGCCATGTGACTCACATGGCAAGAGCACTAGCTGCGAGCTCGTTCGCCCGCCCACCGAAGTGGTCCGCCTCTTTGCCCGCCTCCACTGCTGCCTGTAGCTCCACCCACTCCTGATGCCCGGGAGAGAGGGCAGTGGGGGTTGGAGAGACGAGAGGTGAGGTGAGGAGAGACGAGAGGTGAGGTGAGGAGAAAGCACAGAGATGGGGGTTGGAATGGAAGGGGCACCAATTTCTGATATTGTAGGCAGCGGTAGGTGCACAGAAGACATGCAAGGGTGGTTTCAATAATGGACATGAGGAATACCAGTCAGGAAAGGCGAGTGGAAGAAACAACGCCACGCAAATGCGCATCACATCACCGGTGCATCGCTGCACCGCACCTCACCTCGCTCTCCTGCAGCTGGGTGAGCTTCTCCGCGGCGATCTGCTCACAGCGCACCGTGGCCACCATCACCTGGTGGGGTGGAGAGGGAAGGAGGGGTGGGGAGAGAGACAAGGTGGGGAGAGAGACAAGGTGGGGAGAGAGACAAGGTGGGGAGAGAGACAAGGTGGGGAGAGAGACAAGGTGGGGAGGGGGAAGGGGGAGGACAGGGGGATAAGCAACCATCGCCTCTGTGGCGATCTGGTCACGGGGCACTAGCGTCACCATCTCTTGTTAGGGTGGGGTGGTGGTAGGGGGAAAACCAGAGTGAATGGTGCAACGAGAATGGTGCAAGGACACTCGCATGGAAGGAGGAAATCGTAAGGCCCCACTCGGTCACACTCCTTCATCCACACACACACATGGGACAAAACCCCAAGAAATAGCATCCTCACACAAGCATGAATAGATAGAGCCCCGCAGCACAGCACACACACCTTGTGGGCGAGCACAGCACACACACCTTGTGGGCGAGCACAGCACACACACCTTGTGGGCGAGCACAGCACACACACCTTGTGGGCGAGCACAGCACACACACCTTGTGGGCGAGCACAGCACACACACCTTGTGGGCGAGCACAGCACACACACCTTGTGGGCGAGCACAGCACACACACCTTGTGGGCGAGCACAGCACACACGCCTTGTGGGCGAGCAAGACAAGGTCCTTGTCCCTCGACATATCTTCGCCTCCCTCCTTCCCTCTTACCAATCGTCCACAAGGAAACATATCCTCCCACACAATCTCACATACTCGCACACAAGCACAGACAGAGTGGCGCAGCACACCTTGTGAGCGGGCAGGTCGAGGTCCTTGTTCTCGCGGATCACGCGCCACATCTCCGCCACGCTCAAGGGGAACCCCGATGCCGGCACCACCCCCCGCCGGTCCCCCGCCACCCGCCCCTCCACCACCGAGTCTTGAAACCGCTCCCTCAGCCGTGCTACCTGCACAGGGGGGTAGGTTAGGGGTGGGGGAGTTGGGTTGAAGGCGGTGGGAGATTGCGGGTTAAACAGGGTCTTTAGAAACTTGAGCCCCGCCAGTCCCCCTCCACCCGCCCCTCCGCCACCGCATCCTGAAACCACTCCCTAGGCTGTGCCACCTAAGGAGAAAAAAAAAGGAAAAAGTTGGGGATATTGGAAAGTGGGCGAAATCAATGAGGGAGTAGGGGGGCTGAGCCCCGGCATGCGGGCATCAATGGTTGAGCCCCACGAGCCCCACGAAAGGGGGTTGAGCCCCACGAGTCTCCTGCAAGTTTCCCGCCATCCGCCCCCCCACCATCGAGTCCTGCAACTGGGGCGGAGAGCGGGACCGGGTCGGGGCGGAGCGGGGTGGCGACGCCCGATTAGGCAGCCAAGCAGGAATAGCTTGACTGGAAGGGCGAAAGGAGATTTCGAGGGTGGGGAGAGGAGAAGACTGTACGTTTGCAACAGCACAGGTAGCACACCTGGCTCTTGAAGTCCTCCTCTCTCTCCTCAAAGTTGGGCAGAGCTGTGACCTCCACCTGTTACACACGTATGCATGCACATGCACAAGCACATGCCATGCCCATCCCATGCCCATGCCCATGCCCATGCCCATGCCCATGCACATGCACATGCACATGCCATGCACATCCCATGCCCATGCCCATGCACAATCGCATGCACATGCATATGCATAAGGACACACATGCACATGCGCGCACACACACACGAGGAGGCCGGATGTGGATGGGGGCTAGGTAGCTACATGGAGAATATGAGCGAAGGGCAGGAGAGATGGAAGGGGAGAACGAACGAGTCGAGGGAAGGGAGGAAAGAGGGGCAGAGGGAAGAAAGCAACAAGGGAAGGGAAAGGGAAGGGGAGGCAGGGGGGGACGAATGAAACGAAGGAATCAGCTGAAAGCTAGATACGCAGCGTGTGTTGGAAAATTTTGCAGACTGTTGTTGAGAGTTCTCAACACACAGACTGTGACATCAAGGAACGTTGCAAGCAGCTGAAAGTCACATACATATGAGAAGTCAACAAAGGGTGTGCTCAATGATTGTGTGGGGTGATTCTAAACTTGTTGACAACAGCATGCAGAATCAATCAACGCTGGAAGGAAGCAGCTGTTAAGAGCATACATTGAAGAAGTCAGCAAAGGGTGTGTCGTGATGCTTCTGCGGCTTGGGTACGCTCTGCCATATCTGCAGCCGACACACAAGTGAGTAGCAGAGGCGAGAAGGCAGGAGGAAGAAACGAGAGACACATGATGCAGACAAGTCATGCGGCTGGACCTGCAAGGAACCAACGCTGTAAACGATTTGATTGGATACAATCCAATAATATGCACCTAATCCAATCGGGTGAATGGAGAAAAGAATCAACGTTTCCAGCAAGCCCTTTTGTTGACAAGGCCCAAGGCAAGGCATGGGCGGCGCACCTTTTGAATGTCCTCCCTCAATATGGGCTCGAGTGTCTCCATTGGGGTCTGCCCCGCCATGCCATGCCATGGCGCGCACGCACACAGGCAGCACACACAGAGGTGGGTGGGATGTGGGATGACAGGGGGCACAGAGGCACGCAGCACACAGAGATGAAATGGGATGAAGTAGGTGATACTAGCATGGATTGCAGCAGTGAGCGGGAAGAGTGGGTGGGTGTAGCAGTGCAGCGTGCGAGGCACCTTGGTCTTGTCGCGGATGACGAAGAGCAGCGTGGCCTTGCGCGGCGAGAACAGGCGCATCATCACCTGCCTCACCACAAGAAGGGACGGGGGAGGAGCAGTGGGAGGGTTGTTGCTCAGTATGAGATGAGACACGAGACGTCTCAAAGTTTGAACGGGACACAGTCCAGACGCAGCTGAAAGTTAGAAGCAGGGAGGCTTGCCACAGAAAGTCTAAGATGTGCATACAGCACAGCACAGCACAGCACAGCACAGCACAGCACAGCACAGCACACACGCAGGGCGCACCTGAAAAACCGTTTTCAGCAATGGCTTGTTGGAGGCTTGCTCTCGACCAATGTCGTGGCACCACCTGGCATGACACGACAGGACAGCGCCGCACAGGGCAACGTAATGGTTGGTGATGCAGGGCAATAAGGTGAGGCAGTTGCAGGTGCAGTTGAAGTTGAAGTTGCAGTTTGAAGTGCGAAACAAGTGGTGATCCACGAGGGTATGCGCGGAGAGGCGACGGATGGATGCACATGCGCTTGCAATACCATGATGTGCGGCATTAGTGGAAGAAACAAATGGACAATAGTAGGCCACAGGGACATCAGCATCAGGTACTGAGCACATGTGACTATGCATGGCATGGCATGGCATGTCATGCCACGTGAGTGAATGAAACCATCAACACCAAGCGTGTGTCGCCACGCCCACGGCCGCAGGGCCATACATACATGTTAACGATGATGACGTCAGCGACAGCGAGGGCAAAGAGCGAGCTCTGCTTCTCAAACGTGGTGTCGTCCTGTGCCACAGGTGCAGTAAGGGGAGGGGGAGGTGGGCGCGGAGGGGGGGGGGGGGAGCAGAGGGAAACGGGTCAGGCAGGGGGTGTGAACTGTTGTCCTGCCCGCAGGCAAAGAGTGGGGAGGGGGAACGAGGGGGGGGTTAACATGGGAAGAGTTGATGGGTGGTCATGGGGTAGAGAAGGGGGAAAGGGGGGTGGGTGGGCAGAGGGAGGAAGGCGAGGCGAGGGCAGGGAGCACATTTGATGAGGGGTGGAGCGGAGGGAAGGAAGGGAGGCAAGATTTGGGCAATCAGGACTTGGCAATCCCCCATACGCTGGCCACGTGGGTCGGCCCTGTGACAGCCGTCAGTGAGTGCCTCTGAGGTCAAGCACGAAGGTGAACGGCTGAATACGTTGTGAATCCGCTCACAAGTCCCCGTGCTTCAACCGCACACTCACCTTGCCCCTCACCCTGCCCCCCTCACCCTCGTCTCGCCACTGCCCTCTTCCCCATCCCCCCCCCACCTCGCCCTCGTCTGCCCCCCCCCTGCGACGCACCTCGCCGCGCTCGCGGCTGTCAGTGCCCTCGATGTCCAGCACGAGGGTGAACGGCCGAATGCCGCGCGCCTCCGCCACCCAGATGCCCTGCGTCGTCTGCCGCCTGCCCTTGAGCGCGTCCATCTCATCGAAGGTCGTGTGGAAGAGGTGATTTAGCAGCGTGCTCTTGCCTGCCCACCCCACACACGGGGTGCAGTGACACACGGGTGGGTGAGTGACATGCCCGTCACACGGGGTTGGTTGACAGACAGGGTGGTAACAGAAAAGTAACACAACAAAATGAATAGCGGTAGACAAGCGTTTGGCTCAAGTCCAGAGGGGCCTATCATGTGCGTGTGATATGCCAGCACACGACGAGTGGCGCTATAGGGGATGAGGGGCTAGACGGCAAGCAGCAGCAAGAGGGCAGAGCCCATCCGCGCTTCAAAATACCACGTCAGTGCACTGCACTGCATGCCTTCTAACTTTTCGTTTTCTTCCTCATTTCAGAATTCGTGTGAGGATTCTCAACAGCACTGAAAGGTGCAGGGCAGCATGCAGATGCGCCGCGCCATCCGCAAGACCAGGGGAACTGCGGTGAGATGCGGTTTCAAGGAGTGACGATGGGCGCTGAGGCACCAACATAAGCCCATGACATGGCTGCGGAATTCGCTGGGCCGACAGGTTCAAGGAGCTAGCGAGAGCTTTACGCGTGAAGCAAGAAGCCGGGGGCGAGCGGCAGGGGAGGCTTGGGACAAGCAAGGCGTGTATCGCTGCTGAGGCAAGGCGCGTACCGCTGCTGAGGCAAGGCGCGTACCGCTGCTCTGCGGTCCGACGATGGCGATGACGGCGTACGACAAGCCGCACTCCGTCATCCGCGTCGCACGCGCGAATCGCTCGAGCCCCTCGCGATCGAACTCGCCCGTCCCCGACACGAGCTGCATCCGCATCCCCGCCTCGCCGTCGCCATCGCCGTCGCTCCCCATCGCGAGACTCACTCCCTCAAAAAGCCGTCGTTTCTGGAAAGAGACGCCTAATTTTAGGCGCCTCAAGAATAGAGCCCTTGCTGAATCTAGAATTCGGTATGGAAGCAAGAAACTGACTGAGAAGGAACACGGCGAATTTGCAGAGGGCCCTCCACGAATCAGATCAGCTTGCGGGTGCGCTAGCCATGCTGAAATCTGATGCTCGTGAAATTGCTACGATGATTTCCAATACCGTAGGGGTTGAAGGAGAAAGGTGAGCAACTGCTTGTGGAAGGAAGGCGTGGCGTGCCTTGAAGCCGAAAGCGTGGGACCAGGGAGGAGGGAGAGAGGGGGGTGTGACTGACCGACAGCGATCAGCGTCAAGACGAAAGGAGCTCATTCCTTGATTTCGTCGTAGCCCATCCGCGATACAGACACGGACAGTTTTCACAGACGGACTCGAATCGGAACTGTGTATGGATCACGCATTATAGAATGTAAATCATGATAATTATTCAAATTGGAAAAGCCTTAAGAGAAAAGCACATACAAACAAATAAATTATATTTAAATACTGAAAAGGCATACAAATCCAACATTTGTTAAAATAATATGAAGGGAAACTCAGAGATAATAAATGTTCTTAAAAAATATATACCTCGAAAATGACTAATAACAATAATACATACTTCTGCCATTTGTGCATTTTCGTGATCGGTGTGCTGGTGGCGGAGTGCCTTCTATGACATCTGCTCCCCGCCATAACCGCTCGGCCGCCAGTTCACCACCCAGACTCTTGTCATCTCAGTCACCCACGATCTCTGTACGTCGTTCAGAGCGCACGTCTCGTCGCTCATTTCCGCTCTCCCGTCCGCGCCTGCTGCATTCTCTTGCGATCGTTCTCGCAGCCTCGGCGACGTTCCTCCTACTGTTTCTCCTAGTCGCTTTCCGCCGCCAGAATAACTGGTCCGAACTCGTACGCGCGCGGAACCTCCGCGCGGTAGCGAGGGACATGCCGGCGGCAGCAGACGAAGGCGCACAGGGCGGGAACTTACCCGGCGCGCATTTTGCGCCGGAGGCCGCCGCAGAGGCGGACGGCAGGGCGGCGGCGAGCGGAAATGGCGGAGCGAAGGAGGGGTTGCGGGTTGTGCTGGTATCGCTGGAGTACCGCGCGGGCACGTTCAGCGGCAACGGCGTCTACTCGCAGTCGCTCGTGCGCTCGCTCGTCGCTCACGGCCACTCCGTGATGGTCGTCAGGTGCGGGGGTAGGGGGGGCCGGGGAGAGGGATGCGGGGAGGCGAGGAGAGAAAGTGCGAGAGTGGGTGAAGTGAGGAGAGGCGGTGTGACGAGCAGACGGCGATGTGGTGGCGGGACGCGCACCTGGCCCTAGTTGTGCCAAGCAGGTTCTCATCTCGTGCCAGTCGTGCTGCCTTCGCTGGCCTGCCACCTGCTCTTCCCTTCTTTGACGAGCCTTTCCCCTTCTGCCCCAACAATGCTCCCCTCTCCCCCCGCCGCACCTCCCCTCCCTCCCCCTTCCCCTGCAGTGCAGCTCCCCCTCCTCGCACCACCGCACTCCCTCAGCCCAATCCATCCGCCTCTCCTCCTGAGCCCTCGGCGCCCATCGTCATAAGGCTGCGCCAGCAGCGCCCTACAGGCTCTCTCCACTCCGCAGGCCAGCTTTGTGCCGTGGCTCAGCAGGCAGGTGGCAACCAGAACGCAGCAGCGGCGGGCGCACCCTGTGAGCGCGGCGGCAGCAGCGTGGGGGGCCAGAGGAACGGGGCAGAGGAGGAGGAGAAGTCCGTGGAGGCGGAGCGGTGCGGAGTGGTGGAGGTGGGGGAGGCGGGGCAGGTGGAGCAGTGTGTGGTGGAGGTGCCAGTGAGCGCGTGGGGGCGGCTGGACTGGCGCTGCTGCTGGCAGCAGTGGGCGCACCGGCTGGCGGGCGAAGAGGGGTCAGGGGGGACGGAGGTGGCGCGCAGAGTGGCGCAGTTTGCCCCACAGTGGGCGCTGGTGGTGGACTGGTCTGCCGTGCCCGCCTTCACCGCCCTTGCTGCTGCACCCGTGTGGGCTGACACTGTTGCTGCGCATGGCGGTGAGGGTGGTGGTGAGGGTCGCATTGCGGGTAGCAGTGTGGTGGATGGCGTTGGTGAGAGTGGGAGGTCAGGAGGACAGGCAGCAGAGCAGCGGGCTCAGCAAGCACCCAGGCGGCCACGCATAGCGTATCTCAACTTGCGCGTGTACTCGCTCTCACACTACCAGCCGTCTGCCGCCACCACGTCTGGCCCTGCTGCAGCCGACAGTGCCGGGGAGAAGGGTGAGCGGGGGGCGGAGGTGGAGACGGAGGCGGGCAGGGAGCGGGCGTTTTACCGGGAGAAGGAGAGCGAGGCAGTTGCCATGGCGGATGTCGTCACGGCCCTCAGCACACGGTGAGATGTTGTCACGGCCCTCAGCACACGGTGAGATGCCATGGGCGATTTTGAGATGAGCACTTGGGAGATGAGCGGTTGTTGTGCGATGAGCACTTGGGAGATGAGCGGTTGTTGTGCGATGAGCACTTGGGAGATGAGCGGTTGTTGTGAGATGAGCACTTGGGAGATGAGCGGTTGTTGTGCGATGAGAGGTTGTGCGATGAGCGGTTGTGAGGTGAGGAGTTGTGATAGCACAGCGAGATGGGTTGCTTGCAGCGCAAGATGGAATGCTCTGATAACCTGATCACTTCAAATGGTAGGGAAGTGAAGCCCATTTTGCCCAATATCTGAAGCTCATTCTGGCCCATCCTCACTTCGCCTTCATCCAGCTCCCATGTCTCCCCCCATGCTCCCAGGGACGCACGGTACCTGGCAGAGAGCCTGGGCACGGGGCGCAAGGCAGGGGTGGAGCCACACGCGCTGCTGCCGCCCCTCCGAGAAGACATCCGCGTGCTGGCAGCGGGGCGAGAGAGTGAGTGAAAGTGGAAGTGTGTGTGGGGTTGACAAGGAGCAATAGATCTATTGCTCGTTGTCAAGGACTTGGTGTTCCTTTTGTTGTCGCAGCAACCAAGGAGAGTAAGTGATTGACAGTAGGGAAGGCAAGCGGTGGAGAGCAGAGCAGGTCAACTGGGCGCTGTTCGTGTCAGTGCACCGGACAGCACGCCAACATCAACATGTACTACCGTCCACCAAAGCTACTCTTCCCTTCCAGCCCTCCCCACGTCTCTTATCCCCGCTCCTACCTCCGTCTGTTGACGCCCCAGCTTGTGTCCAACCCCCCCAGCTTGTGTCCAACCCCCCAGCTTGTGTCCAACCCCCCAGCTTGTGTCCAACCCCCCAGCTTGTGTCCAACCCCCCAGCTTGTGTCCAACCCCCCAGCTTGTGTCCAACCCCCCAGCTTGTGTCCAACCCCCCAGCTTGTGTCCAACCCCCCAGCTTGTGTCCAACCCCCCAGCTTGTGTCCAACCCCCCAGCTTGTGTCCAACCCCCCAGCTTGTGTCCAACCCCCCAGCTTGTGTCCAACCCCCCAGCTTGTGTCCAACCCCCCAGCTTGTGTCCAACCCCCCAGCTTGTGTCCAACCCCCCAGCTTGTGTCCAACCCCCCAGCTTGTGTCCAACCCCCCAGCTTGTGTCCAACCCCCCAGCTTGTGTCCAACCCCCCAGCTTGTGTCCAACCCCCCAGCTTGTGTCCAACCCCCCAGCTTGTGTCCACCCCCCCAGCTTGTGTCCAACCCCCCAGCTTGTGTCCAACCCCCCAGCTTGTGTCCAACCCCCCAGCTTGTGTCCAACCCCCCAGCTTGTGTCCAACCCCCCAGCTTGTGTCCAACCCCCCAGCTTGTGTCCAACCCCCCAGCTTGTGTCCAACCCCCCAGCTTGTGTCCAACCCCCCAGCTTGTGTCCAACCCCCCAGCTTGTGTCCATCCCCCCAGCTTGTGTCCAACCCCCCAGCTGCGTCCATCTCTTCTGCGACAGACCCTGACGGCTTTCCCAGCTTCCGAGCCCCTTGTCACTCCACCTGCTCCCTCAATCCCTCCTCCCAACCGCAGTGAGCGCGGCCTCATGGCCATCGGAGCGACTGTACCTGGTGTGCTGTGTGCGCCTCTCCCCCGAGAAGAACGCCGCCTTGCTGCCTCCCCTGCTGCGCCTGCTGGCGCCGCACCTGGCAGCTCTGGGCGTCACGCCCCTGCTGTGCGGCGGCACTGCCGCCACACGCGGTGCCTTCGGGGAGGCCGTGCTGCACGAGGTGGTGGCGGCTGCACCGGGTGCCGTGGTGGTGGATGGCTTCATGGGGCCTGAAAGGATGGCGCAGCTTTACTTGCAGGTAATGGCCACGGGTACCCGTGTCACTGCCTGACTGCTCATGCCTGCGTTGCCGCCTGTGCCCATGTGTCCATCGCCTTGAATGTAACGACAGCCTGGCAGTGGTGCTGCAGTCGATGCCCTACTTCCCTCTTCTCACACACACACCACCTGCACGATCCCACCACAGTATACCTCATTCTGTGTCACTGGTGTTCGCATTCACCTCATTCCTCCTTTTGCTCCCCCATCCTCACGCCCCCATTCCTATCTGCCATGTCCTGTTTCTCATGCACCCACACTCTCCTTCTCCCCTCTCCCTTTCTTCCCCTCTCCCTTTCTCCCGCTCTCCCCCTCTTCCCCACTCTCCCTCTCCCCATCGCCCCTTTCCTCCCTCGTCCTCTCCCTCTCTCCCTCTCCCCCTCTCCCCTCTCCCCTCTCTCCCTCTCCCTCTCCCTCTCCTCCACCTCCCCCCCCCCCCCCCCCAGACGCTGCTCAACATCCACCCCTGTCTGTACGACGCATACGGCATGACAGTCGTTGAGGCGGCAGCCTTCTCTGCACCCTCCGTCATCCACGTCGGCCCGGGCGGCGCCGTGGGAGCAGCCGAGCTCCTGTCGCCCGAAGAGCAGCTGGCACTGCCGGTGGACCTCTCTGCCGCCCTGCCAGTTGTTGCTGAGAGCATTCTGGCGCTGTTGCGGGACAGGCAGCATCTGGCGCAGGTGGGGCTGGCGGCGAGACGGCGTAGTTTGGAGT